GTTAACCCCCACTGGGTCGAAATTCGTGCATTGAGCTCTGCCGTGGCACCTTATTGGCTACTTCCCGCATTCGATTTTACAGTTCATTTTTATTGGTTCTCAAGGTCGCTATTCAATAGGCTCACGAGTCGCACCATGTTCCAACAGGGAAATTAGGTTTTTCAGCGTACAACGGCAGACAAATATTGTCAGTATTCTAAATTACCAACGCTCACGGTTGACAGAATATGAGTTGACTATTTTTCACAAACGCTATTTATTCCGCGCTTAGTTTTTTTAGAAATCAAGCTCCAATTTTGCATTAGCGAACCCACATGAGTTCATGACACTTGACTGCAACCATCCCATTGGCTCATTCTCGCATTTGATTTTGCGGCAAATTTTATTGCCTCCCAAGGCCGCTCTTCTATTGGCTCATCCTTCATTTAAGCAAGTTAGTTTTCGCTTCGTGTCAGAAACTGGTTTAGCAATATCGGTCAAGTGATGCCCTCACATTAATGACAAAAATGTCATTAAATTCGTCGTTCCAAATCTTACACTGCTCGATTAATGGCCAGTAGTAGCTATTTGTCCTGTAGGTTAACACATTCCGTTACAAGAATTGACTTAGGAAGTAATAAACGCCGTGACCTTGATTTTAGCCAAAGAGACCGTTGCTATGCGCGAATTTCGATCTGTTATATGCAACCGTCTAATTCTTCCCCTGCTACCATGCGGTCCGTCTTCTTAGCTCTCCCGTCGTCCAATTAGAATCGATTTTTCTGCCATCTAGCTGGTGCTATTGCGCTCCACCACGACTGGTCGTGGAGCGCTGCCGAATCCCGACGGTGTGTCCACCAAGCAGCCGGACGTCGTGAGCCTCGGCTCGGCTGCTGACGTCGTCTCCACAAACTCGTCGACAACCTCCTCGGCGCAGAACCCCGTCGCGTCTAACCTCGGTCCACTCACCAACTCCTACAAAGTCGTCAGCACCACAGCTGAAGGCGACATCACATCGACCAGCTCCGGTGAGTGGCTCTATCCAACCTGCCTCCTATTTTGCCTCAGCCTGTCAGCTTACCTTTGAAGTATCTATCTGGTCTAGGCACCAACGACCCCTACTTCTCCACACTCTCCGAGGCGACCGCGTTTGGAGGTGGCTTCCAGCAGTCGTCGGCTAGCATCTACTCTAAGCTGGGCTGGAGCCAGGAACAAGCGTGTCTAGCCGACTCGTACGTCGCCTTCCTAACCGCCGTCGCACAACATCGCTGTTGGACGTCGTCCACCACCGACCCTTCGGGCGTCGCCACCACCTCCACTGAGAATGGGTTGTCCGACGTCGGAGGCTGTGAAGTCTCTGGTGACGAGACTGTCACGAGCAGCACTACGGAAACTCTCGTTATTCCACCTCGTGACCCTTCCCTCACGTCTCTAGATACTCCGGCCTGCGAATGGCACCAACTTGTGATAGCGTGCGTTCTCACACTGATTCAACACGATCACACTGTGGAACAGGTTCGCCATTTTTTACTCAAATACGCCTCTGATTAATAACATCGCTGTATATATGGACTTTTTTTGTAGTGCGCGGAATTGGATGAAGCACCCAAGTGCTGTTTGGCTGCGGCATTCCTCTCGGCTCGCGTCCTCTCCGCCTCCCCAATCGCCGTGTTCCGTTGCCACGCGGTGGAGTTTGGCGTCTTCGATTTGATCACCCGTGCGTGGCGCGACGCCTCGTCGTCCACACCCTTCAACGGTCCGGTGACGCGGGCGGTTTGCCTCTCGGCCATTGAGATTCTTGTCAACCACCACGACGCCGACGTCAGCTCTTGCTGTGTCAAAACCCTCATGCCCCAGGTGTTCCACTGGCTCTACGAGCTGTCAGTGACCATTTCCAGTTCTCCTCCACGTCCGAGCGTAGTCAACGACCCCACGGATCCTCGACTCCTCCTCCACAACGTATTTATTGCCCGTCTGGAGGAGGCCGTGGAAGCAGCCATCTCGGTCTCCGTGAATGTCGTCGACATCGCCGAGGCCTCGGGCAGGCATAACCTCCTGGTCATCCTCCTGCCGCTCTTCTGTGATCTCCTCCAAGACGACGTGACCACCAAACCTCCAGGACTTCTCCGCACCGTCCACAACCTGGCCCTCAACAACCTCCTTGCTCTAGGAAGCCGCTATCCAGCCGAGTTTCGCCACGTTGTCGCCAAGGTCACCAGCCTCAAACCGAGGATTGAGGCGGCGTTGAAAGCCCAGACGGTATCTACTTCGGCGTCGGCGACGGCTGCTGCCGCTTCGTCGTCGTCGGTTCCTTCTTCTTCATCCGCCTCCGTCAACCCACCTCCAGCTGCCGCCATCAAACTGAAAATGGAGTTCTCCAACTTCATCTAAGAAGCATTTAATCGTGTCGCTAGTGTTATTATTTTCCCTGCATCGTCGACTTGGTTTACGCTGATCGCCTTTTCTCTCAGCCCCATTGACAAGCCTTTTTTTCTTGTGTCATCTCCTATTGTTCCTTTTTTCTTGGTACTGTGAATTGCGCGCGCACACACACTTGAATTTGTTATGCACGGTTGCCTGTGACTTCATTGCCAATAAATCCAGCATAATAGTCACATTTGACAAAGCCTCAAACACGGCCTGATGATAGCGCAGAAATAGCGATCTGCTATTGGTTCCAGCGAAAGGCACCCAATTACGGACAGCACACTCAAAGTGCAGTGGCCAATTGGAACGCGGGCTTGACAACCAATAAAATTTTTGACAAATTATAATGTGGGAGGTAGCCAATGGGGTGGCAGTAGTTGATGCGAATATGGGAGAAGAATCATAACTATTGGTTGAAAATTCAGAGCGTGTGTTATTTCATCGTCAGAATCCGAAGACGTGCAATGCGGTCGGCGTTCTACATTGGCTAGGCATTTTAATACAAAAAATTCAGAAGCTTAATCTTTGTTTTTTAAGCCCTGAAAATGGAATCAATCACTTTTGCAAAAAAGCGGAAACTGATTAATTTGAACAAATATTTCGAGAGGTGCTTCTGTTGACGAGTTTAATCATTATTTTCAGGATTGACACTATTTTTCGCAACTATTGTGCATTTCATGTCATCTACACTGGTCATAAAAACACATAAACTTGCCGGATATGCTGATTTTGTCAAACCAATTTCCCTGTTGGAACATGGTGCGACTCGTGAGCCTATTGAATAGCGACCTTGAGAACCAATAAAAATGAACCGTAAAATCGAATGCGGGAAGTAGCCAATAAGGTGCCACGGCAGAGCTCAATGCACGAATTTCGACCCAGTGGGGGTTAACGTGACCATGCACACTCGACGCCTCAAATCACACTCTGCGTATCCACGTTCGCGCTGACACTGCGACGATGGCGGACACGCGGCAGCGGTTGTGAAAGCACCCCTTCCAGTTGCTCGGTTGGCAGATCAGCGAGTCTAACCTGAGTGGTTCGCGATACCAGTTGGCACATGACCGGCAACACGCCGGACACCGCGAGTTTGGTGGACGTCGAGAGGACATCGGGTGAGCAGATGCGAAGGAGGGCGGTGAGGGCGTGGAACGCGCTTGCCAGGACCACCGGTGCCTTTCGATGACGCGACGCCGACGACTTGGGCAACAGCACTGGCTCTGCATTGAAATAACAAAGTCGTTTGCTACTTACAAGCTGCTAGTAGTATGCACAAAACAGGTATTTAGGGGCCAGATGCACGCCACTCACGTTTGGGGGGCGATTGTGGGGTTGGCATCTGCAACACCGATGGATGATAGCGCGCGAGCAGACACACGACGACCTGGAGAACTGTGATGGTGAGTCGGCATTCGGGAGTTCGGCTCTCGTCGCCTCCGTCGAAACACGACCTCGCACCTCCGTCAGCCAACTCAAGCGCCTTCACAACCGCTTCCACGCCACTTGCAGAAGGACACGTCAGGTAGGCGAACAGTTCTTCCACGCTTTGCGCAGTGCCCAGACAAAACGCTGCATCCATTTGAGTAGCCCCACGTCCCTCTTCTCCACCGCCTCCAACTGACGAAACGGGTGGCGTTGTGTCAGCACTCCTGGCTGCTTTGACGTCAGCTGCGAAGTAAAACATGGTCGCGTTGAGGTGGCGCGGACGACATACTACTACTTACACAGTATAAGTAGGTAGTCACCTGACACGGCAACACGAAGCTTGTCAGTGGCGGAGGCGAGAATCAAGTGGAGCACACGCATGCACGCCAAGTGCAGTGCGACGGAGTCACGCGTGAGGATGACGCGGTGGAGGACCGACAACAACTCCACCGGTAGCCGCGGGGAGGAGGTGAAGAAGTGCGGACGAGATTGGGGGTTGGTGAGGAGGAGCTCGACTATCCGCAGGCACTTGGCCACCACGTGGGTCGACGGCTTCGAGATGATGTCGGCAATGGCCTCCATGGACATACCTTCAACGCCACACAAAAAGATATCTATGTATGCCGGCGACGCACACGTCTGGAGAAAATCTAAACTGTCTGGGACTTGCCAAAAAGCAAAAAGAACGAATCACGCGTCATCGGAATCACGGCCTGCTTGTCAGTCTCTTCGGCTGGGGAATACGTCGACTCTGAGGGATATTTGGTCTCGGTGTTCATGCATAGAGTCGCCGCCTCCAACAACACTAGCCACGAACGCGCGTAGAACGGCCGTACCTGATCGATACCTGCCTGGGTGTCATAGAAGGCCCCAGTGGTTGTGGGTCGCTGGAAGGCCAGCTCATCGGGCAGGTTGATGAGGGCGAAATCACGCAGAGCGGTCAGCCAATCAGATGCCAGCTCTGTGAGATCTGGGCCAATCAGCTGCGAGAGGAGTTGGTAGGAGTGCCGCGACTCATTGACGGTACGGCGCAGCTTTCGTATGAACCGTTTCTTTCGCTTTTGACCTAGAATTGACATGAAGATTCACAGTGTCTGATAAATTTCAAAATACTTGTTGAAATAAAGACATTTTGTGACGGAGGGAATGACGCACACTTACCGTCGAGTCTAGAATCTGGATCATCTTCTTCGTCGTCATCTTCCGCGTATAGACCCTCCTCTTCCTCGTCGTCAGCATCCTCTTCCAGGGCCTCGAGGAAATTGGACACATCGGTCACAGAGGGTTGGCCCCAGCAACCGCCGCCACCCCCGCCCAGCATCATGAGAAAATGCCGATGGACGACGTCGTCGTCATCGTCATTACCTGGACGACCACTGCTCTCCAGCAACGAGAGCAACTGAATAGCCTGCAGCGCGGATTCTCGGAATCTCGACGACGCGATGAACACCTCCGCCCACGCCGAGAGCACGGCCAACTTGAGACGGGTCACCGACGCCTCGGAGTAGACCTGGTTGGCGTCGGCAGACGAAGGCGACGACCGAAGGATCTCGAGGGACGCAGTGAGGAGTTCGTGGATACGTCGGAGGTCGGCGGCATCGCGTGGGACGCCCGAGGTGAGCCAACACGCGCACACCTCACAAGCAGCTGCCGTGATGCTGGGTGCTGGCTCCGTAGACGGGCCGGCGACCGACTGATTGTCCTCGGGTTTGCTGGACGGCGTGAATGCGGGCCGCAGAGCTGCGGAAATTTGCGCCTGAAATTGCTCTAGGAGGTAGTGGCCTGGAAAAAAACCGCAGCATTCAACACGGGTGTTGGATTTAGATGGCATATGATCACAGCCCTTGGCCGGACGCACCTGCGGAGTCGGGATCGGGCACGGGGGCGAAGCACCGGATGACGTCCCTGAGCGCGAGCAGGCCGAGCACCCTCAACTGGTCGCTGCCTGAGGTGGCCGCGATGAAGGTCATGCGAACAAGGTCGCCCAGATGCAGCACAAGCCACGGCGCGTCGGCGACCCCAGAGCGGAGTTTCCGCGCGAGCGACAGATCAAAGTGCGCGCGGCACTGGCCTGGCACGAGCGTGGATTGGGAGTCACGTGGGTTGAGGTGCACGAGAAGGGGGCTCCGGAGGTCGTCCTTGGTTGTAGACGTCGTCGTAGACAGAGTGTAGGCCTCGTGGCAGAGGAATACCAGGCGATGGAGGCAGGCGACTGCCAGTGCGCGTGTTGGCCACCTGTACGTGCAGAGGGTGTAGTTTTAATTGCGTCGAATTTGTGGAACCGGTCGTGTCAACACACACCAGTAACGACTTCGCTTACTTGGGCGGGAGATTGAAGATGCCGTCGCCGGTGCGCAGCTGTTCACCGCGCGATTCCGCAACATCACCGAAGCTCTGTTCATCGTCGTCATCATCACCGTCGTCGTCGTCATCGTCCTCCACGCCTCCCTCGACGTTGTTGCCTTCGCCGCCACCTGGAACATTCCCGTGCTTCTGCTTCAACGCCCTCGTGCCTCCTGGTTGATCGGTAGTGGTCATTCCAGAGGTGAATTTTGTGGTTGTTGCCTCGAAAGAAGAAGAAGGAAATAAGCAGTGGGTGAGGATTTCTGTAAACAGCTAGTCAGCGTGACAAATACACAGCCACGAAAACCAACCTGGAGCAGCTGTTTGAGAGTCCTCATCCACTCGGAAAAGTGCGAAATGCCACGAGCCTGCAGCAGATTCAGGATGCACTCCTCGATGTTGCCACGCAAGCGAGCATCCGTTTCCACGTCTAGGAGACTGAAGAGAACCGCCCCTAGGGGCAGGCTAGAGGTGACCGCTGACTGGCCGCTTGGTGTCTCGTCTGGGAGGTTGCCGATGAAGGCGTTGTTGGGACGAGGTGCAGGGGAGGCGGACTGGGGGCTAGCGGCGCCAACCACATCGCAAATCCCGTTGGCCTCCTTCTGACTGATCTGTCGTAGACAGGCGACGACGGCACGCCGCAGACCAAAGCAACTGCTCGTCAGACATCCCTGGAAAAGATGGCAGTCGTCGGTGAAACGAGAGACGGTGAGACGATCTTGTACCACAAACCCGAAGCGAGAACTGTTCAACCAAGATGTTGTGCTGAGAATTTGGGCCATCGTTATCGATGTTGGTTGAAAACAAACGCAACATCCATCGTGTACAAAAGTCACATGTGGCAAATGCTCTATTTAGTCGTCATGGTGACAGCCGAGGGGGGACAGTAAACACCTCGAACGCGTTATTGCTGTTTAATAATAGCAATGAGTTACCGTGAGAGGAAACACGAGGACGAGCACACACACGAGCTGACTATGCTCTTACGAAGTGATTCACCAAACGAATTCTGCCACAAACGATCTACTTCTGTCGAGTCCTCTACAACACCGATGCCTGTTCGCGACATGCTTGGTTCGTGACGTCCCAGCCATAGCTAGAAAGTGGTTGGATGTCCAAGAAACCGTCACAACGCCATCAGTTCGGAATTCTCGACGACGACGACGACTAGCCCACCCGGACGAACCTCCAGCGCAACTTTCGGCGACCCACAACAGCCAGAACATGACACCGACGGATGGCGCACGCGCACAACGAATTACCGATGCGCAAAAGAAGAGATGAAAAGATACAAAAATTTACTGAAGGGAATCGCACAACACGAGCGAATACCTTTGTCGCGAATTAACGGGTCGTGATTGCTGCAGCCGAAGACAAAAAAACACACAGAAGAAGGTCAGAAAACACGTCGCATAGCTTGTGCGCATTGCCCAGGCCATTCCAACGGTAGCTAAGGTGGCATTGGTTCATGTCGGCAAAAAGAACATCACAATCTAGGCGACAAATTGGTGAGGTGGCAAGGAGTGTAGAATGGGAACTAGTCGACTCAAGTACGGAGTTGTCACGGCTACCAGAAAAGATTTGCAATGCTAGACGCCAAAAAATTGCTCCGCGCAGCCACGGCCCCTCAGATCGTCCCAAATATTCCCTCCCCCTCCCTCGATTTAAATTAGCTGGTTAAAAATTAATGAATCCTCACGTGGTTAAGGGGAATTAGAAATGGTGCGAAAAGGTAAATGTCTTTTTCCTGTTAAAGTCGAGGAATTTTCCAAGAACCGGCAAGGAAGAACATCAGCAGCACTGTCACCTGCCGTCCCCATCCAGAGGGAGAATGTACTACGAGAACTGAGATGGTGGCGAGTCAATAATTACGACTCCGTGTTTCAAGTCCGTGAATTTTGTCACTGGTAATTTAGTGAAATTAGTGTGGAGCGATTTGATCAGCAGGACATATTTTATTGTTCCTCATCCAGTGCAATTAATATTTGAAGCAAAAAAAGCAATGGACTCACTAATAGAAGAGGGGCGAATAAATTCAGATTGACGAGATGCGGAGCGAAGACGTGGACGCGCTGGAAGTTGGCGATGCCTTCTGCCTTGAGCAGAGGGTCGGGGTGTTCCAGGAGGATGGAACAACAAAGTAGACACGAGAGTCCGGCGTTGGATTTCGGGTTTCCGCTAGAGGCTGTGGGAATAAACACGTTTTTGTATTATCCAATCACGTTGGCGTTTGATCAAGACAGCTGACCAATCAGACCAGAGCAATGGTGTCGAACACACAGAGGGCGGTAGGTGCCCACGGAACAAGCGGATTCCAAGCAAGCACCTTTGGAGACGACCGACTTACACTGCAGTTCCGGTCCGACGGTGGTTATAAGAGCGCCAAGGAGACCGCCAAGACTGGCGTGCATGTCGGTGACGGTGAAGGGGGTTTTGAGGAGGAGACGCAGGACCAGATTGAGGCTGGGCTGGACGAACTCCCTGAACATTGGGCCACCAGACTCGGCGGTCAGAGCCAGCGCGTTCAGAGCCCAGGCCTAAAAACACACACACACGAACACTGAGTGTAGTCAGATAGCCAGTTCAGTTAGGCTTGCTTGCTCATGTTGTCAAATGTGCATTGTAACTTGTACCTAAGCCTTAAACCACACTGTACCGTCGATTTTTTGAGAAGCAAAGGCCCGGAACGTGCCAATGGAAACAAATGCACGTCCGTCGGCAGGTAAGACGACGGGACACACTGGTGAAGTTTGAAGTGACTCACTTGGACGGTGGGAGCGCTGGAGTCTTGTGCGACTGCAAGCAGCACTCCGACACTGGTGCTGAGATGTTGGCCACACGCCAGACCCCCGACGAATCGATGGAGGCAGCCAATGGCGGCGCAGAGACCCGCCCTCGTGTAGGAGTCGCGCATGTAGCGCAACTGGTCGAAGCAGGTTTGAGCCAGTTCCGCTAAGAAAACCGGTTCACCGACAACCTGGACTAGACGACCGACGCACTCGGCAGCGCAGAAACGCAGCACCGGGTTCGCGCTGGAAAGCGCGCTCTAGGATTGGGAGATGGTGGGGGGGAGGGAGGGAGGGAGGAATCAGCTGTTAGTGGGAATGATGACGTGTCTTGACTAGGCATTAAGCATTCACACTTCAACCGGCTGCCCCTAGCAATTGCATCAACTAGACAAAATCGATTTCTCGGTATTCCCACACAACCGTTTCCACGACATAAAACAGCTAATCGTCGTGGGCAGGTAAAAAAAATCAACTTCATTGAGAATTTTACCGGCACACAGAATCAGGACAACGAAATGCGCATTCATTATTCTCCGATTTGAGAGAGACGTGACTAAGACAGGTCAGAACAGCCTGGCCCATATGAATGCAAGAAAACTGATATGATTTGTGTGGTTTTTATTAAAAACTCCTGGGAGAAGCACACATAACTAAAAGGCCACCAGTTGACCAATCACGTCGCGGCAATCTCAAGGCGCCAGCCGATTGGTCGAGACACACCTGACCAATCAGTGTGAGGGTTAACGCCACACCACTGGTGATTGACTCCACACCGCGATAGTGCTAGCTCGGGTGCAGCGAATTCACACCACACGAAAGTGATGCCTTCGGGCGGAATTTCGAACATCACAAAGCGAGGAAGGGCACGGGAAGGGAGAGCAGGCAACGCCGCCACGGAGGGTTGAGGGTTTGCGTGAGGCGGAACAGTAAAGCCTTGGCTACTGCGAGCAGCGAATCGACGGGAGGGTGGGATGTCGGAAACAATGGCGCAGCAAACGAAGTTACTTATGCTTTTCATGAAAAAAAACTGAACAAAACTGCCTCAACTAACAATGTCGGGTAGGGAGTGACCTCACATAGGCGCGTTATTGCGCAGATACTAGACATACACCGTTTCAAGCACTGAAGCTAAGCGCAATAAAACGAAACAGTTCTTTTTCCTCCTGCGCAAGAAGTGAAACCTAAGAGCGGTTTACCATGGCCAAGGAGACGGCGGCTGCGCGCAGAGCCTTGTCGTCACCAAAGGCGAACTTGGTGTCGGCCAGTCGACGCCAGGCGCACAGCAGAGCCGCGAAGATGTTGATTTGAATGGCCTCCTGCCGGGCGGCCTTCGAGACGCGAATGCACTCCGCGAAGTGCTCCAGCATCTGGGTGCGATGGCGCACCGAGACGTAGGGCAGGACCACGCTGAAGAGGCAAATTGACGCTTCGAGAACGAGCGAGGCGAGGCCGGGCGGTCCGTGGAGGTGGTGGCGCCGGATGACGACGATGGAGTGGACATCTTCGGGCGGCTGGGCGAACCTTCCACTGCCCAGTTTGGCGGAGGTTCGGGCAGCCGACGGCGCGTCGTTTTGGTCGTCCTGGAGCAGCTTGAACGCGTAGTCCGCTGTTGAGGCGTCGGTGGACTAGGCGGCAGAAAATAAATGGACAGTTGAGACGTCATTTTGTAGTCAGTGCAAGAAGCTAAGATGTGCTTTAACTTTAGACACCATCGGATGGTGGTAGACAAGACTGCAAGCATACAATTGGTTGCGAACAAGGCAAAGCCTTGATTCGACAAATTTGGTCGCAGTAATTCTGGCATCATTGACGCACTCATGATTCAAACTTTCGCCTACTGACGAATATGAGGGAATATTTGACTTGAAACATGTCGAGTGGATTTCGGAATCGATACCCGCATCAACTATCACCAATTAATCAACAAATATTTCCTAGAAGTGGTTATCTGTTTTTTTTAAAAAAACGCGTCACTGGTGCTCATCTAGATGTAATTTAAGTAAATCCTGTGGAGGTTCAACGGAATTTCAATCGAACGGTTTCCGCACTTGACGCCAGCTTCGTTTTCGCACATGCGACTGGGTTTGTCGCCTGAATGCTAGATGCTTTCTTGAACTTGTTCTACACATCCCTTGAGCATCTGCTGGTGGCCTTTGATCGTCCGTTGAATAGAACCGTTGTCCGGCGTTGCCACATCATAAATGACCAATAGAGGAGGGGACTTAAACGTGGAAGCAGATGACACGCCTGCTCAACTGTACAAGTCAACGAAATCTGCAGAAGGACTTACGACGGCTGCGTTGAGACCTTCCTGAAGAAAGAGCTGCGCCGAGTCATTGCCTAGTGAACCCAGACAACAGCAGCTGTGTTGCACAATCTAGAAGCCAGAAAAAGCCAGTTGGAAGGTGGTTGAACACACACACACACACCAACGATTGCCCCTCACGGGGCACAGGGCAGAAAGGGGAGAGGTTGACTTACACCCTCCTCCAGGAGTTGCTGGTCCGAATTCTGGCACCAGGCGTTTGCCACGACGCTGTCCTCGCCCTGGGAGAGCAGACTCGGCAGGGAGACTGCAGTGCTTGAATTGGTGTCGGTCAGAGTGAACTCAGCAACCAGTTCACGCAGCAACACGTTGAATCCACCTTGAGAACAAAGCAAGACAAACACAGGGTTGCCTCAGATGTGTGTGTGCGCGCGACTACTGCCATGACCAAGTGTACTCTTTCTGGGGTTTCGTGTGTACCGAGCAAGAATGTACCGGCATTCGCGACAATAGGTCATGAGTTAATGGGAAATGTGTGTTATTATCGAGCATGCCAATGATAAATCGAGAAATTTGGTAGGGTGAGACCCACTAGCCCCTTCGGCATGGTCGAAAGGGGTGTCGCATCACAAGTGAGACCTCCGTTTCAGAAATCCCTCTGACTTACCTGACGTAAGGAGACGCATCAGGAAGGCCTTCATTAACCAACTGAGAGTTCAAACAATCGAAATAACCACGGTGAATGCAAACTGTGGGCATAGCAAACGCGTCGCAAGGGATACCTGATTATCGGTAAATTCAGTTTCAGCGGGTTGGGGCGTGGGTAGCCTGTCACTCGCTCGCCATCGTGGGTGAAGGCGGGTTCGCTAGGGAGCAGCTGAACCCCCATATCTGAAGGCAACTTGCTCTACGCGATACATTCGATAAGGTGGTGAATCTGTGCGCACGTTTTAATGACAAGAATCATTAGAACTACGATGTGGTTAGAAGCAACCGCACAAGTAAAATATTCGCAGTTCAAATGACATAAATTAGTCGATATTCAGGTTACAGCGATTGGTTAGTAGGGGATCATTCCAGGTCATGCAATGTACTCACATTTGTAAATTTCCGAAACTACGTCTGTGGAGACAATTACGAGAGCAATCAGTGAAATAGCGTACACTTCGATAGACTATCCCCGATCTCTGTTCCCATAGTAATCGATAAATGTGCCCACAATGAGGCACTTAAACGGTCTTTTATACCATTGTCCTTGTTTTCGGCTTCTATGGAGTGCTTAGTAGCCTGTCACAAGTCGATTCCTGGGGTCTTGCGATCTTAAATGGCGCAGATCCGAATCGACTTACTGGAATAGGCGGTGGGAGGGAGCAGGGCGAGACACCGGTAGAGACGTAGGCGCACGACAGCAGCGGGCTGGGCTAGATGGGTGCCGAAGAGACGGACAATGTCGGGCAACTGGCCGAGCAGGTTGAGAGCGCAGTCGAGAGACGGCAGGAGGCGACGCGCGACGTTCTCGTTGGCCATTGACGGTGCACAGTACTCCAGGAAGGCCTGCATTGAGCACAGCGCACCGGCCCGGGCCTCCAAGGTCACCTTTGAGGGGAGAGAGAGAGAAGGGGATAAAGGCAGTCACCCATCTGGGACCCCGGCAAAATCTACCGGGTGCCAAAAACTTCTCCGTTAGAAATGGCAACTCAGCTATACTTGTCTGCTACACAAGACCTGCAAGTCTGTTGCGCCCTGATTACAATCTACCGCGATCGAAAGCGCAATCCCACTGGTTGTTACAACACAATGATTTTACTAATGATAAAACAATAGCCACGATGATAACGCTGTCGCATTGGGATTACCTGCCAGGTGAAGGCATCTCCGCGTTGCTTCTCCGCTTCGAGCTCTCGGTTGCTACGTGGAAACGCGTTTCGCCAGAGGAGGATGAGTCGTGGAACATGGGGACGCACGATTGTGGGTCCAAGCGCCATGCAAGCACCCAGAAGGTACCAACCACCCTGGGTACGAACAGCTGTCAGGCAACTGTTTTGATTGGCTGCTCGAAGGAGGTCTTCAGCCAATGAGAATACCTGTATAATTGCAAGACCTATTTGATTGGTGGAAATTGGAACAGCAAATCAGCCCCGCTGCGGGTACACGAACCACGTATCACAGGCCTCTTGTAAATGAATCATTACGAGAGAAAAATTTCTCAACCAGACTTCGACAAAAATGCCTAAACATTGAAAAACAGTACCGGTAGATCTGATCAAGTGGCAAATGAAATGTGCGGCCTAAAGTGAAGCGAAATCAGTGATTTTCCAAAACAAAAAACGGTTATCCAGACCCACCGCTTTCCCTTTAGCGTATGGAATTCCAAGGTCACCGAGGCGAGATCCAGCGACTAGCCCACCGAGGGCCAGACTATAGCCGGAGATGGTTTCGGGGGAGCAAGTGGACTGGCTTGTGCCAATGGTGCTTAGAGTGGTCATACAACGGTCCATGAGAGGAACACGATGACCCGGCAGTGCAATGGCCAGCTGACGCAGCACCGCTGCAGCCGAAACGCGCACTACGAGAGCCGAGTGTGGAAGACAGACGTCGAAGACGGCGTCCACGAGGTCGGATGGAGGCAGGACAAGCGGAGCTAAAGAGGGGGTTCGTGAGCAGAAACAATGTGAGTTATGGTTCTAACAAGGTGACCAAGGTAACCAAGAATGTTTCAAATAAAATAATCCCTTTAGGGTCAAATTAAGGTCCGGTCGAATTCCTAAGGCCGACACATCGATCCGTATGCTACTTTCCGTGAACACAAGTGCCTAAACTCACCCACAGTAGAGTCCAGCCATCGAATCAACTCTGTCAACGCGTCCAGACAGCAGACTAGGTAGTGGGGATCGTCTCCGACAACCACGTCCTCACTTGTACCAGCGCTGTCCGCCTCCTGTTCTAGCTGTCCCGTGGACTGTGACGCTCGCAGTGACCTGCCCGCGCCATTTTGACCCCGTCGACGGGAAGCAATCAGGCGAACAAGGTGACGTGCCGCGGCTATCTGAGCAGCCTCGGAAAAGTGACGTCGGAAGAGACTGGAGAGGATGTAGCTACCGACGCAGGAGCGAGTAAAATTGGCTTCATTGGGCGTCTGAGTTGAACGAGGGTTGGCCAGGAGGGAGAGGCAGTGAGAGATGACGGTCATGGAATTAGCAACCAACCAATCAGAGCCCATGTTGGAGAAGAACTCCACGTAGGCCTGCAGATGAAGCAGCGAAAAGACCAAGAGGTTTTAGACTACGATTTCGACGAAATGAGCCGAAATCAGAAGCGCACTTACATAGGAGATACCAGCTCTAACCTCGCGACTAACTATGTTCGTGCCTTTGAGCATGTCTGAGGCGGTGGCGCCCTTGTGAAAACGACCAGGGCCACGCAGGAAAGCAGAAGAAAGGAGAGCTAAGACGTCGTCCAAGTTGACTGACTTGCCTCGTTGCGCGCTGCTTTGATCTGGATGCGAAAAAGGAAACAACTTATGAAAGTGACCGTCTAGATGGGATTGCGCGCCTAAATTAAACACGATTTGATAACTTAATGCGGTTATGGACAGCATTTGCGGAATGTTAAAAGCGTAGGAGAAAACTTAATCATACTGGATGAGCCACTAGCTGAGGAGACGGCAGTGACTGAATTTGCGTTGCCTCCGACGACAGGCAAATCGAGTTGTGTTTTGGCGAGGATACGACCCAGTAGCTTGGCGATCTCGATTCGCACAGCGTGGTTAGATCCATCTAGGCCTTTCACGCACATACTCATCATTGCATTGAGGTCGTTAGTATAGAAGCTTGGGTGGGATTGCGCCAGACTGTTATGGCACTACAACGAAGAGAACAAATTAAGTTTTGTTAACTTATCTCGCATTAACGAAGTGGATTTGATGGTGAAAAATTAACCATCACGAGAACACTCAAACTGGGATGATCCTTCAGAACTCAAATTCTCGTTAGAATGTCATGAATCCAAGTTGGGTTAAATCAAAAGGCCGATTAAGATCTAGCGGTAAATTCAGAAACACTTTTTTCACGACACTGTTTCAAGTTTAGATATTAGATGCATTTAAGATTAGGGAATCTGACGCTAAAACAGCATGTCAGTTTTAAAATTAATTTTTTGTGAAGAAATGGAGCCCATAAAGACGCAACAATTTCAGGACAATGCATGATGTTAAGAAAAAACGAAGCACAATGACACTCAGTTGTAAATGCTAGAGCGCCACTTACCTGTACAGCGGCAAGCCGAACAGAAAGCACACGATCATTGATAAAGGACTTTGCAACTTTGAAAATATCCCGAAAACACAGGCTTTCAGCGGCCCCAAAGCCGGCTACAATCAGCCTAAGTGTTGTCAATATCTCACAGCGAGTTTGCGATTCAACCTGAGAAACGAAAAACGCGTGCAGAGAGAAAAGGGTCGACTTAAATACATAAACCCTACTGCTTCGTGGGACAACTCACCTGTTTTATCATTTTTGTTAAAATACCAACAGTTTCCTCAAAAGAGCGACCACAAAGGCGACCGAGACTTCTGTAGATAATTCCAAGACAAGTTAATGCAGTCAATCGCTTGTTGATGGCTGCAGGACCATCATCACGAATCTTCAAAATATCGTTGCAGCTATTAAGCACCCCATAGAGGGCTATTGAATCACCGGTAATAAAAATCTTAGACAAGCATCTTCCCAAGAGTTTTCTTGATGGGGGACCCACACCTTCGGAGACTTGAACCATGAGCTGGTCTGTGAGAGATTGCTGGACATTCTTGACATCTGTTTTTGTCGACTGAGAAAGTCGTCGATCAAGACTTCGCAACCAGTCATAAATAAATACAGGTTTGTTTTGCTCGGTTACACGGGCAAAAGCAGCGTCGTTTAACAGCAAACCCGGTTGTGAATCCATTACAAGCGAAAGCCACAAAATCTCGAGATGACCGACCAATTAGGGCACAGCACACTCTGTTTGCATGTAGCGGAGGATATGTTGGTCTAGAATAACAATAAGCTTTAACTTTCTCAATTGGGCATAAAGTAAAACTCATTGAAAAATGTGCTAGAAAGCGTAGCTGTAGTAAAGTTGTTGCACAACGAATTTCACACATTTTTATTTTTTGAAGCGCATGCCTAATATCCAGGAAAAATTATTTGGAATAAAATTTTCAACGGATAAAAACATTATAAATCATTGCAAAAGTCTTACCCACTGATTAAACGCAAGCATATGTTAAACAATTTGCTTATTCAATCAAATAAATGTACTTGCAAATGCACAAGCTAATTTCTAAATTGCATCAGTGGATTTTGCTAAAAATACTGGTTTAACCATTCGTGAATTTACTTTGCAATCGGCAATTGTGCTCTCTCATTTTGCTTTACCTAAATTCCTACCGAAACATTAACAACTTTTATTCAAATTGTCATGCCATATTCCATTGTTCATGGTTTTTGCATTGATAAATTTGTTGTACTGCAAACGACTGCCTGGACCATATTGATTCAATAGAAAACCCTCCAATTTTAAGACCTTAAAGATCAAGTCCATCAAGTACACGTTAATGTGTTATTAGAATTGAAGTTAGTGAAATAAAGTCCTTGCTTGTCCCATGAAATTTAGCAATAGCAAATCATTTTTTCCTTCTAGTGAAAGTCCAATGATATTTTCCCGACGGAGGATCACATTTTTTCGGATTACCAATAGAAATTTTGTAAACTCACTAACGAAATGGAATTTATTTTATCTTTTTAATTTATTCATTCGAAAATCTTATAATATATGGCCTCAGAAACTTTTAAACATTATCTGTTTAAGACGTTTAAGTTTTAGCAAGAAAAACGAATTCATGATCTTTGCCAAAGTATTTTTTCGAACACAGTTCTCAAAAATCAAGCTGTTTAATTTTCTATCAGTTTTTATGTTTTATTAGGCAAAATTAAAACTTTAGTGAAATTGTTCATTAACTTTCCATGACCGATGCCTTGAGCAATCTTTTGTGAATCGTGTTTTTCCACATCCCTTAATCCTGCCGCTCCACCTCCGACACAGGGTTCCCCTTTTCGCAGCATATCGCCAGTCGTACGGATCCTCAACTCCCCCCTCATTCACATGGATATTTACCTTGGATTATCCTCACACCTAGGTTTTGATGTTAGCGCATGAATGACTAACACATCCGAGGTATGAATGCACACCCTCAAACGCCACACACAACACAACGACACCAAGATGGTTAAGCTCTGAGATAACCGGTTGTGTCCACGTTTTCTCCGATCTTTTTCTTCATCGCGGATACCAGGAAAGCGTAATTGGGCCAGGGTTAATTCCGTGGCCCCGACTTGGTTCAAGACCACATGCTGGCGCCCACAACAAATCTAATGGCTACTCGGAGAATTAATTTCGCATTTTAAATAAAAGGTTACTAACATCTAAAAATGAAAACGTGTTAGGCTCCATAACACAGAGTATTTGATCCACACAATAGCACAGCAAACACCGTCTTTTCGTCCTAAGGTATCTTCCTACCAGTTCGACTGAATTCACAAATGTCCACGGCTAGTCTAAACACAGTGACTGGCACTCATTCTGAAGTACTAACAGAAATAATTATCGTGTTTTCTAGTCGACAGCACCAGCTGCTTTGCAGAAACTCAGTACGCAAATATCGAGTCAGCAATTTTGAAATGGCGCCTGTCCAGCTTACACGCACACTAAAACAAACTCTGCATTTCTGAATGTTACGGTAATGTCACTAAATGCTACCTTGTTTATCCTCTTGGTACGATGAATGCACTCATGAGTACACGCATGTGGAAGTGATGGACGTTAGTGAATAGCTGAAGCATTCTGTAAGACTTTAAAATTCACTGCCAAAGGTAAATTTATCCACTAACCAGTGATTCTCGCGTCACGTTAAGATTTTCCGCAAGCAATTTAATGAAAATTCGTGCAGACTTGAAATAATTTTACGAAATTTCGGTATTCTCTCTCTAATAGCATATTCAATAATCTGGAAGCAATTACGAGTTTTACATTTTCTAATAGTTAAACAATATGAATTAACGAGTTATTCACTGTCTAGTTCTAGACTAGTTTCATCATCTAATTATGTCACCGTTTTTACTTTACTTGTCAAGGTGGTGAAAATCACATTCACAAAATCAATATATAATTCTGGACGCTAGTGCCCATGTACGCAGTCGCCAGTATTCATATCGACCGCGCAATTCCTATTGGCTCCTCATCCATCCTAAGTGAATTCAAACCGCCCATTTTCGAGCTCGAATGCTCGACTTTTCCCAATACCAAAAAGGTAACTAATAAAAGTACTTAGGACCTATGAGATAGCCCTTTGGCAATTCAGAGGAAACCACTGTTTATAAATTCCAAGGAATTTTTTTTTGTGACAAAGATTATAGTTGCTGGCACGTTTTTGTTGCGGTTCACTGTCACGTTTTGCGCGCCTTAGCACTTGCAATCTGACAAAATTCCCGCGAGTCGCAGATAGTCACGTTTTGCAGAGGTGAAACCGCAGCTTAAATTCATATTTCAAATTTGGAATAGTTCGGCGGTCTTTTGTAGTTTTGAAAGGATCGGACGCAGGGTTTCAGAACATCGGACGACAAATCTACTGGAGTTACATAACCTCTCATAATGGCAAAGTTTACCGGGGCAACCAATAAACAGCACACTCGACGACACAGCATTTTTTACGAGTTACAATAAGGCAATAATGCTTCGAAGGCACGGAAATCAACTTGTAGTGTTCGTGGTGTCTTATGAAACGTGTCGCTATTGGTACAAACGCTCTTAATGACCAGCTACACGTCGGAAAGCAGCCTCAAAGGTTAGAAGATGCGCAATTTCAAGCTTTACTGGACGAAAACTCAACGCAGATGCAATGAGATCTTGCGGTTCAGTTAGGAGCTGTCCTAACAGCGTTTGCACTAAGCGCTTGCACCGTTGAAACACTTGGAAATTGAGCCCCAACGCATCTGCAAACCGAACACAACCAAGGGCAAAGTACGAACACACATGTCTTTCACTGCTTGCACACCGACAACAAGCAGAGGGTAGACTTCTTGTGGAAAATTTTGACGGGTGATGAAAGGCATATTTTAGTTGCGAGAATCCCAAACGCAAAAGGTGTCGGGGGTATATCCTGGGCAGCAACCCGGTACGTCGACGCTGCAACAGAACATCCACTTGAAGACGTTTCTCCTGTGTATCTGGTTTGTGGAACATGAAGGGTGTACTTTATTGCGAATCCCCGCAAAGTGGTCGTCAGACGGTGGCTGCGGGACGCTGCAGCCTACAAGTTTACAAACCTATCAAAGAACGTGATCAGAAAAGGTCCCTTGGTAGGCAAGGAAGCAGCCAAATCATACTGCTGCTGCTGCTAAATGACAAATCCCGACCTCCTCACGTTGCTCACAAGCCCATCTTGAACTTGGGATGGGAAGTTCTGCCACACAAGAACTGGCGCCCCTTCCAACATCAATTCCAATTTTATTACTTGTAGCGTTTCCATGGTAAACATCAACATTCTGAAGGCAACACAGGGACATTAGCTACTTTCATTCCCCCACTTATGAATTTGCGCGCTGTCAGCCAATAAAATCACACCTTTTCGCACCTGAAAATTGGCCAATCAAACAAAGGTCAGCTTTAACGCTGCTGGTTGGTTGCCTTCGGTGGACGTTTTCGTCTGCCGAGTAAACAGACCACAATTTCGGTTTTCTGTGCCCAGAAAACGCCGTTTTTTTAAAGACGTTTCAATATTTCACCATGTTGATATGTTGTGAAGCAATTAGTGAGAAAATTTACCTGCTTAAGGTCACTTCTGACAGGGCGAATGACAAAAATAATCACTTTTGTTTACATCTTCTTTAAATGCGTGAACAGTATGATCTCGATTGATCAGGTGTAACATTTGGTGTACGAAAAAAATGGTGCCGTGTCAAATTTTCACACAAACACGACCACCTACGTGAGGTTTGACCTACTGAAGTTGGCTAGCGCCAGATCACTGCCACATTCTAATCGGATCTCGGTCGGACATCTGTGCAGGAGATGTCTGACGGATTAATTCTGCAGCTCGTAGCACCTAAATTTGCTTAACGATTCGCATAAAATAGGAGTAACTTCACTCCTGCCATTTCCGATCGGTGAATAATCATTTTGATACGAAGAAAGACGTCCACAACAATGTCGAGACCCAGTAATTGGATCGTGGTGTCGTTGTCCAAGAAACCACACATTCGACGATCTTCTACGCTGCAGAAGCACTCAAAGTAAAACCGCCAGAATACTAGAATCCCATTGGTGGATACTTGTTCCACCAACACACCTGATTGGTAATTTGGATAAACGTCTTGAGACGTGATTGGACAGTGGTGTCTTACATGTTAAGCAGCATCGGGAAAATATTATTTTCTATGACGAAATTTCGCTTTATTTCACAATACAAAAGCAATATTACCTTCGTAACAAACAACTGGTTATTCGTTGTTATGTCAACCAACACAGTGACCACGAGAACCTGTAATGGATCTTTCTTAAATTATCTTCCTTAATTACGTTTCCTTCGTCATGTGTACATTGTGGGATGCGATATAACAGTTGGAAAGTTTACGGAAGGAAGTTCCCGACTTCACAAACTGTAATGGCAATTAAAGTAACCTCAAACATCAATTTTTATGGGTGGAAGTTGTAGACTAAGATTATCATGTCAGTGGAAAGATAATGTCCCCGTTTTTGACCAAAAACGTGGAACAGTATTACACAGAACAAACGCTCCTTTAATTACACCCCCAAACGTTGCTCTTGGTGACACATTGGTTTGATCCGTTTCCCCGTAAGAGGCACTTCCGACAGGATTCATCCACTAATCGAATCGCAGATTTAGCTAGAATCACAGGTGGGTAATTAGGATTCGAACTAATGATCCATTTGTGCCCCCAGGAATTTGTTTTACTGCATTAGCTTCATCCCATTGGCTACGCCCATCGGTCATCGTTAATATCACTTCTGGTCTATTGTTTAGTCTATTCTAACGTCTGCGCCGCTTGATCAACCCTAAATTACCCGACGCTAAATGGTTTCCAACCAGCAATACAACATCTGACTGGCTGCACAATAAAACTGTAGATAGTTGTCGATGTCTAAAGTGACCCGACAGCGAACGGTTGTAGGATTGGTCAAGTCGTGCTCGAATAAAGTTGTGGGTGAACAATGGCTGTTGTTGTATAATACCTTTTGCGTGGGTTGGCAGGAGTACAGATGGGTAGTTTTGTCATGTTCAGATGTGTCTGCAAGAGAGACGAGAATGTTATGTCTGAGCTTGTTTGCATCCACACAACGGGGGATTTCGATTGGTCCCAGCAACCGTAGGAGAAACGGCATTGGTCGATTTCTTTGAACAAGTTTTTTTCGGCTCCTTTTGCTTTAAAACAAGATTCTCTGGTGCCTTTGAAAATCTTGCATGTATGAGTTAGCGTGTCTCCGTGTTTGAAAGAGCTTAACACTTACTTGATGTGTGGCATCCGAATAAATGAGCGGATTATCGCGTGTTAAAGAAGCGATTATTTCAAATGTGAAATGTGACATCGGAGTCCGTCACGTTTGCGAACGATTTATGCTATCACCTCACTGGAATTGACCTTCTGCAGCCAACAAAACAAGCTAATTTTTGCGTGTTCGTTTGTTTGGTCAAATAAAGTGACATTATTTGCTAAAATCAGCTTCTGTTGTGGGAAGTTGTTGTTAAATTAAATTTGACGAATCAGACTTTGCTGTCATCAATCCAAAACGATAAACATCTATCTGGGTTGTGTTTCGGCAATGTCTGTGATTTGGAGACAAAAATTATTCCTCCTAGTATCAGTGAAAATAATGTGCCGAGGGATCGTGTCCTGACAGAGCGGAAAAAACGGATCCGATTCTATACTGGTATTTTTCTTCCCCCCCCCCCCAAAAAAGCCAACCTTTTATCGACCAAGTCATGACTAGAGATAAGACTAGATTGTACTTAACAACTGGAATCATGGAACTAACAAAACAGAATCTATGGCAAATGCTAAGGTGCATCCAATAGGAGTGCTGGCTTTTGTCTGGTTGGGGAATTGTCGAGGCACACGTGACTATTAACTGCGAAGAAGTAAAATGAGCAACCCACACATCTCAATGTTGAAAGCCACGTGCGACTTTAGTCAATCTGAAAGGCATCACCTTGACTACACAGGATCCCATGTCACTCAGCAGGTAAAATTTTATGGTTTTTTATTATTGTGATAACACAGAATCTCCAGTAGAGTTGACCAATGTTTATGCCGAACGACTTTGGCGGATTACTAGGAGGCGTGTGGATTTCTTAATAATCCAATCGCTTTTTTGCAATTTGTAGTCCAAAGTTTGTGCGAAGTGACAAGACTTGGATGGTGTCTTTTCCCCATTCTAACAACTTTTAGGGAGTCATTGCGGAGGCCCCTAACTGAGCAACAGCTGGTTTCGGTAATCCTTTCCTCGCGTGATCGCGATCAAAATCCACACGCGCAAATGTGCGTGCGTGTCACCTAGGCCTGGTGCACACACGCACGCGCGTTCGCACGAACCTGGTATAAAAACCAGATGCACCAACACGAACACACGTGGCATTCCACACAAGCATGGCAGCGGCACCCGTGTTCCTCCGATTGCTGGGACTCCTAGCGTTGATTGTGTCCACCGTCGTAGTTGCGGACCAACGGCCGATTAACTCCGAAGAGATATCTCCCGCGTTCTGGGAGCGTCTGGCGAGGCAACGCTTCCAACAAAGTCGAGGCATTTTCGGTGATGGTTTGAAAACACGAGCCAGAAATGTGATCCTCTTCCTGGGCGATGGAATGGGCGTGCCAACGGTGTCCGCGGGTCGATTCTACAAAACAGAAGTCGGTGGTCAGTTGGGATTGGCGAATCCGACGCTTGACTTCGAAAACTGGCCGTTCGCCACGTTGTGCAAGACCTACGACCTGCAAACAGTCGTAACCGACTCCGCGAGCTCCGCCACTGCCTACCTCGGCGGTAAGTCAAAACAGTGTTCAGGGTCGCTTTTGCATAAATTACTTGATTCAAACAAAACAGACGGGAGTTTCGACTGAGCTAGCGGTACGGGATAAGCAATCACGGATGCTTTGGTGGAACTGAGGCTGCGTTTTGATCATTGATGTCGATTTTCATTTCAAAACAAAGCAGATACTTTTGAAGGTTCCATCATTAATTTACCTCAATTGGTTGTGCAAAGGTAACATTTTTTCCCAAATTCTCGCAAATCGAACCACGCAGCCTTATTACAGCCACAAGAAGTGTTAGATGATTTTGAGTTGCTGCGTATAACAGAATTAACCCATATCTGTCCAGAACGTGTTTGAAGCATGCCAGGTCAACCGCTACACCATTGTTCGTGCTCGTGTGGAAATCCTGTACAACACGACTTCGGTTAGCCAAATGATACACATGAGTTCTGTTAGGCAACCAACCTCGTACAGTTCACATTTTTCTCATGACGATGTAAATAAATCTGCAATGCTGTTCGCGAATGTTGGTTTTTTTGCAGTTCGGCAAACCAACGACCGTAAACAAACCTTACCGCAATTGCCCAAATAACAGCATTTGTAGCAAATGCAAACACTTTATTATCAGGAAAACATGCTCTAAACGGGTTCTCTGTGGGGTTGTGTTTTATTTTTCACAATAACTCGAAAACAATCGAGTTTTGGGCTAGATCAATAGAATGCCACGTAACCGCCGAGAATTCGCCACTTAGATTTCGCAAATGTTACAATGGGCTGCTCCAATTCACAAGTTTAGGTTGCTGGTGTAGTTCCTGGCACCAGCGACCCATCGCGCAGTAATTGAAAACTGTCCTAATAACCAATGCAATCTGCACGTGTCCCCACTGTGATTGGCTGATATCATCGGTAATTGAAACTCGGGATTTATTGATTTCTTGTCTCGCCAGGCACAAAGACGTCGACGAAGATGCTGGGGGTGACGGGCGCCGTCAAATTGAAGTCGTGTCGCAAATACCTCCCCGAGGAGAAGGTGGACTCCGTGTTGAAGGCGGCTGTGCGGGAGGGTCTGGCGACGGGCATCGTCACCACTTCCAGGGTCACCCACGCCTCACCCGCTGGTGCCTACGCACACGTCGCCTCGCGAGGCTGGGAGTCAGACAAGTCAGGGCTTTTTTCAGTGATTTGCGAGCTTTTTAGCATAGTCCGGGCATGCAGCGGTTTAGTCTAATTTACTTCAACTCTAATTAACCAATGTGGATGACATTTAACCCCTAATTGATGTGTTTGCTTAGCTCGTTGGTAAAACTGACCGTTGTCTCAGGAAGTGGACGTGTTTTCCAGTTGATCGCTAGCGAATGATTCAACTTGGCGCATTGCTGTAAAACTGTAATGTACCCCTACTCGTAGATCGGATATAGAAAACGGAGGCTTAGTAAATTTTGGTGATTTTGGAACCCTTAAATTTGGTTAAAACCTTTATTGCAGCACGCCGTTTCATCGATTTTCAGTTACATACACCAATCAGCGCGAACTCACATGGTGTCCATCATTCGACGTTCCACGGTTTACCGCGAAAGTTGTAACTTGTAATAAGCCGATTTATTTGTGCGACCCACCTAACAAATTCCACTGTGATAATCCCCTGCGTGCTGAACTGAAATCGTGAAATGCGCGTAACAAGAAAGGTTGACGGTTATTTGCGGAAAACATCACGCAATTGGTGCGTCTGCGCGTGCTTGTTGATCCGATCAAGGCGGTCGTGAACGGTGTCAAATACGGCCGAGAGTAAGACAATTTCAAAAGGAGTGCTGAGGTTATAAGCTAAAGTCCTGAGCGTTGTTTAAGCAGAAATTAAACATCTAACACGTGGTCCATCGACAAGTCGACCTAGAAACACGAATGTCTTGTTTAGGAAACTGAAGGCGGACTGCAAAGGCGCGAAGGACCTTCCACTGGACATTGCTCGACAACTGGTGGAAGAGAACCCGGACGTCAACGTGGTGCTCGGTGGTGGAATGCGCTGTTTCTATCCAGAGGGACGTGGCGAGCGACTGGACAATCGCAGCGTCGCGGACGAGTGGTTGAGCATCCAGATAATCAGGAGTCGTCGAGCCAAGCTCATCACCGACCCCTCCAAGTTCCTCTCTACCGACTTCTCCAAGGTGGACTACCTTATGGGTGAGGTGGAATTCTTCGTTGTGTTCAACTTGGTATTGGTGATGGCGGTTGTGGTGGTGGTGGTGGTGGTGGATTGCTTACATTTCAAGGAAATGACCGTGAAATTTGAAGACGATGAATTAGCAAAGTCAACGAATTGACTCTGATTTATTTCTGAGCGATATTATGTAGATTTTAAAAAGGCAGCGATTTGCTTGCCTTGTTTCATAAAATATCGAAATGGTGACTTGCCGTTTCATACTACGTGTCAACAGGATCTGGCATTAAATTTGAAGTCGCTAAACTTCTTGAATCTAGACAATGCGTGTCACTGTCTAACACCTTACCGGTACGACAAGCAAGTATCTTGATTTACTTATTTGCTACTATCTTATAAATAAGTAATATACTTAGTTGAATCACTGATGTCTATAACTATTTGGTCCCTGAAGTACAGAAATCGATCAGTAACCAAACAAGGATTTTTCAGTTGAATGAGAGCAGTGCTTTCGCGTACAAAAACAGCGTTTCTGAAGCGAATTTGGAATTTAAACTGCCTGTTGGTGAAATGTTTAACTGTGGCTCTTTACCAAAAAGGCCTCCTCTACCCATCGCACATGCCGTACGACGGCGATCGCAAGGACGGCGACCCGTCACTGGCGAACCTCACCGTGGTGGCTTTGGAGATCCTCAAGCGTCAACCCAACGGCTTCTTCCTCTTCGTCGAAGGCGCTCGCATCGATCACGCGCACCATGACAACAAGGGGAAGTAAGTAAACGGCGCGGGTATTTTGAAAACAAACAAACAAAAAGCTGCAACTTATCCTTTTTTATAATTTTGTACATTTTGGCGTACATTAAAATAATTTTTAAGTAAAACCCGTTAGATTAGTTGACTGATTCGAGCCATTGATGATCGCATGGATAATTCAATATAAAGTGTACTTATTTACAATTAGTAGATGGAATTTTGACTCATTCTGCATGTTGTCGGTCGATCTTAAAATCCCGAGTAAGGTCAACACCAATACGAAAATTTCGTCCGTAGTTTGCTGTAACCTTCTTGAAATCTGCTAAAAAAACTTTGTAGTTGTTTTAATGCAGGACCGTGATTCAAATAAACGATTTGGTTGTTTTTTTTTAAATCAAGAAATTATTTATTCATAATTTCAAGTATGATAATAAAAATAACGTATTCAACAACCTCTGGTGACCTTGAATTCCTTTCGCAGGAAAGCACTGGAAGATCTTCTCGCCTTTGAAGAGGCCATTCGTGAAGCCGTGAAGATGGTTGACCTAGAGGAGACCTTGATCATCGTTACGGCAGACCACTCACATTCCTTCACTCTTGTTGGCCAACCCGGACGAAGTGAAAGCCTATTGGACAGGGACACTTCGTATGACTTTGCAGTGAGTGTTTCGCACGAACTCTCCTAACAACACCCAATCCGAGGCAACGTTTTATACTAAACGGCATTTCGTTTAATTGATAGAATTTACTGTACCTATTTATAATTAGATTATCTTAGAGAAAAGAAGGGAAATCGTAGAAACACTCGATTTGTCACGATCCAATCAAAACGAAATCTTTCGAAGGTCAAACCAAAGGTCTGACCAATGCCAGTTTGCCAACTCAAATGATCTGTGTTCTCTACTAGATTAAGGACGACAAAGGCATGCTTCCAGTGATATACGCATCAGGACCGGCTGCAGCGGTGAACGAGACGCGTCGAAATGTGTCCAGTCTGTCGAACGAGGAGTTGCACGATGCAGACTTCCGGCAGCCGGCACTGGTGCCGATTCCTTGGGCGACGCACGCCGGTGAAGACGTCGGCGTCTACGCCGTTGGACCTTCCAGTTGGCTGTTCCACTCCACCGTGGACAATACCTTCGTGGCTCAGGCAATGAAGTACGCCCTATGCCTCGAACCCTTCAATCTCGAAGTGCATTGTGCGTCTAGTCGTCCAATGGCAACAGCCCTCCTTCTGCTAGTTGTCTATGTAGTACTTAGAAACTATTAGTAGTATGTGTTTTGTTGACATGACCGAGAATCTGTGTTTGTAGAACAACTGCGCTATTTGTATACCTAAGTGTAACAAAACGTTTTGTGTGCAAGTTTAGCTTCTTCTGCAAGCTTTTGTACAACGAAGTCGGTTCTGTAAGCTATCAAGTTTATTCAAGTAAACCACGTGAGTTTGGTAAAATTCTTTTATTTTCGCTTGAATCATGGGACAATTTTTATTGCCACGGAGGAAGTAAACAATTTGTGCAGGGGTCACAAACATCAAAATTTTCTGTCTAATTTCAGTTAAAAAAAATTAAAAAGGGCATAAAAACCGAGTCTCAAACTGTTGCGCTACTGAAAAGATGTTAGTAGAAAGGTTGTTTAAAGGACTTTTTGTCTCTTCCCATTGGTGACTGGCTTTGATTGATAATCTGAAGTCAGAATTGTTAATCGGTAGCTTCAGACAATCGCAAAAAAAAATACAAGATGATGCACCATGGACATTAATGCCTAATAGATAGCTTTCAGTGGGTTTCATGCAAGTTCTGTTGTTCAAATTTAATCAGTAGGGAATAAATGAAAAGAAATGCATCAAGAATGAAGAAATAACTTCATGACATCAAGTCAAAGTTAAATACTTTACTTGCTGAAAAATAACAGGCAATGGAGACCACCAATTTAGATCAATAACACACAGCCAATTAGATGGCAGCGGTCAATATGATTTTGGGAAATGGTGTACTTGAAAGATCGATGAGAGATGAAGCGACAAGCGTGCCAGGACATTCTGGAACTCATTTTGTCGTACACTGCACACATGTGTATAAACCCACTTTGCGAGTTAAAGTGGTCAGTATCATATGTGGTGTGCTAACGACTCCTCCATGGCGTGATCCAATGTGGCTGCGGCCCGAATAGACGCTAAAGTAAGAAGTAAGGACAAGTCTAACAGTATACTTTGCAGAAAAACCCTAACATTTTAAAAGATTGTCGAGAACCCATAGGGAAGATAAGTACTACGCAAAACGAAATGAGCAGAGGATATTCGGTTGAAACAGATTTAATTGAAGCAAATTGAATTTATGGGTATTTCAGCAGGAATTTTTTTTAAATGAATGTGCAGATCAGTCCAGATCAAAAAAAAGCTTGCGGACGTCAAAAGCGACGTATTATCCTATAGAAACCCGTTAAGCAACTTAACGAAGGAGAATTCACGTCCCTAGAAATGAGTTGCATATAATTTGAATCTCCATTGCAGTTGTGTGTCCAATTATACGTATAAACCTGCGAATTCATTGCTGTGGTTTTAAACCACACCGGGGTCAGTGGTTTGAATCTGGCACAACTCAAACCAGATAGAAGCGATGAAGAAAGAGACCACAGAGAACGCAAACACACTTGTTCAGAACTCAACCAAGGTGGTAACTCCGTATCGTGGGTGACGTTTGTGCATGTGTATTTAAACCTCATATGTGTGAGTTAAATATGTGATAACATCGAGACCTAGACGTGAGGAAAGTCCAAGATAATCGTAGGAGATAATGTGTTGATGGGCTGTTGAGGATCAGCGGGAAGAGGGCAAATGTGTCGACAACTTAGGTAACCATATTAACGAGCGTGATTCAACAAGATTTACAACAACTTATTGTAACTAGAGTTCCATGTCAGTGATGACTAAGGGATTTTGCCACTTTGAATTATGAGAGGAAACCGATCACAGCTGTATCAATAACCTAAGGTTGGCACACCCTCTAATAGTCAACGCGGCGTGTCAAAACTCGCGACTACCTCATCCAGCTTGAACCGCCAGGAATATGACAACAACGTTTCACGGTTCAAGCTACCTTGCTAAATCGAGGCAATGTGTGCATCGTTAAAAAACTGGCCTGTGGAAGTAGTCTGAATTAAGTTGGACTGCTAATCTTGCTGCACGCGCTTACTGAGGGCTCGATCTCATTGACCCGCGACCCACCCTCAACACGCAAGGGGTTTAATTGGGTAACTGGGTCACGATACAGGATTTCTGTTACCCTCTGCCCCAATTGGAGATCTGTTACCATCTGCCGTAATTAGAGACACCGCTAGTAATGTGGTAAACACAAACGCACGCACGCATGCAACACCTTAGAACCTCCCACGAAAAGCCGGCCAGAAGAGAACTCGTAAACAGGCACAAGAATCAACACCAGGCACGCGTAGTTGAAGTAATGCGCATAACGTTTCCTTCATAAAAAATTAAAATTATCTCAAATTTAATTCAAGCTACCTTTGATAAATTCTAATTCATACTAATAACCGTATAATATTAACAGCTCTTGCTTAAATTTATCTTCAAAAATCCATTAAATTCTACCAATATACGAATGTAAAATATTACATAAGTATCAAAATTGAATATAAAAACATCACCATTGCAAAGAATCTGGTCTATGCAATTTTACATAGAAGCATCATTCATAAAAAATTTAAAAAATTGCATTCTTAATCGTTAACTGTATTCAAAAAAATTAAAAAAAGATAGCAATATCACATAATTCATAAAAATAACAGCATTATTTATTATAATACCCAAACAATATTTTAGGAAAAAACAGTTTGTCCAATGAACCAATTGGATGTTTGTTTAATTGCTTACTTAAAAAGAGCGGTCATACTTTAATCGGGAAGCTGAAAAATGGGACCTGTTCGTAGGAGTAAGCGACCTCCACCAGATGGATGGGAAATGATTGAGCCGACCATAGATGAGCTCAACCGAAAAATGCGAGAAGCAGAAACTGATCCGCACGAAGGGAAGCGTAAGGTTGAGGCGGAATGGCCCATATTTCGTATTCACCATAAACGATCAAGATATATATATGACTTGTATTATAAGCGAAAAGTCATATCGAAGGTAATTTGTTTTTAACTCTCCTAGTTTTAGGATCTGTATAATTACTGTCTGAAGGAGAAGATCGCAGATGGCAACTTGATAGCGAAATGGAAGAAACAAGGGTATGAGAACTTGTGCTGTCTGCGTTGTATCCAAGCCAGGGACACGAACTTTGGCACAAATTGTGTTTGCAGAGTTCCAAAATCGAAATTGGAAGAAGGAAAAGTAGTGGAGTGCCAGAACTGCGGATGTCGTGGTTGTTCAGGTTGAAGTCATCAGCCATCTTTTCAATTCTGTACATTGTCTGCTGCTTGTATAAAATGACCAGATTTTATCGTTTTGACTTTGAGTGTAAGACTTGATGAGACTGGTGTACTTGTTAATTGTTGGGTTTGATGTAGGGTGTTTCACTTCAGCTGGTCTAAGCCGGAAGTGATGTTATGATTGTAAATTGTGGGTTATTTGTATTGTGTCAGGTGTCAACTATTGATTTTTATGTGCCAAGCATCGATGTCGTAAGTTTAGTGTCTGAGTCAGTCGTGAGTTGAGCCTGATTTATCTAACCTTAGTTTGTTATGGTTGTTATGAATGCTCGTAGTCACTACTCTCTGCGTTTCGTCCATGAGTTCAGTATCAAAAAAAGGCTTTATTTTCGATGTTGATAAACTGCGGGACAAAGCGGTGGGCAAATCAGTTAACTACTGCAGTCTCGTTCATCAAGCGGTATTTAGAATCCATAAGATGTGCTGTTGTTGGGAGACCCTGTGTGTGCCGGACTTGGTGGTCTGCTAACGATGTACTTGTCGGTGGAAAATGATCTGTTTCTGTAACATAACTAACCCGGTTTCTGTACTGTCTCATCCGCAAAAATGTTTCGACTGACATTCGTAGCCGCCCCGGTGTCGCTTATGGGTTTGAAGATAATATGGCTTAGTAAACTATTGTAGCGGCCGAGTTTAGCACTGCCATACAACCCTATAGTGGACGGCTGGTACACCCGGCAAAGAGGGAAGACAAATGAGTTGATAGAGAACATGACTGTTTATTGGCGTCACGACAGGGAAGTCAATTCGAGTAAAATCGAGTAACTAAATTTTGTGTGAGTAGAATATCCAGTAAAAAAGAAGAACAGAAAACAGCACTGTTATTCCTCATAATTACAAACTCAGGCTGTACCGGTTTCGACGTGGGTGCGTCAATTAGTGGAGGAGAGTTGGGTGGAGGTGTTGGTGGTTTACGGTGGCACTTGTTGAATTCGCCACAAACAACGTAGTCGGGCTACACCCGTCTACATCCATGTCAATAGTACCATCTTCCGGGTCAAGAGCAGTGTCCACCTCGCAAAAAACAGAGACAGTTTGTTCGCAGGAAATGAGAACTGCGGTGGAGTTCTGTTGAAATGGTACTACTGAAATAACTACCTCATAGAAGATGTTCATCTCCAAAGTTTGAGATTAATGGATCAAACAAGTCCTAGTAAACTCCCCATATAAATCGATTTAAAGCCACATGTTTCCAACATGCAGAACTACTAGCACCCAGATACTCGCGTACGGACAATCAGAACTCGAAATGTGCAACGTACATAACCTCAGGGTCTCTGGACAGGCCAATCAGCTAAACAAGTGAGGAGGCATCTAGGCAGCAACCTACTTTAATCGACGCGGTGAGTTGTTGCTTGTGGGTATCAGGTTGACTTAGGAACCAAGCGTGTGCGACTTGACCAACTGGCGTGCGGGGTTTCGGTAATGATTCGACAACATTCATGCCGTTTACTGACGCTGCAGTAGCAGAATTGGCATCTGTGTTAGCTGCCAACTGGTCTAATATTGGAGTGGAATTATCTCTGGGGAGGAGGGTGACGTCCGTGGTCTTTGGTAACTTGCAAGCGCCTCCATTCCCTATCGCTGTCGCTTCTGGGCAGTCGTGCTGTTGATGATCGCGTGAGGGTGAGTTCTGAGCGACTCTCTTGCGATTCCCAGCACCGTTCGGTGTGTTCTGACCGCGAGTCAAGATCCTGTAGTATTTTTTTATCGTCTCAATCAACTCAGGGTCCAGGGCTGTGAGTCCAATTTGTTCAATGACTGTAGCAGAGAGGAATAAAATTAGTTGGCATGTGGACGCCAAGTCAATTGAACCACTTGTTGATGTTTCCTCAAACTCGGGGTACATCCAGGTGTCACATTCAAAATACGCACCACCCTCGTCGTGGACACACTTCACTAGTTTACTAGATATCTTATTTCCCCAAGATCTCTTCTTTTCAATTCTGTCCTCAACATTACATATAACTTTTCATAACTAAACTCAAGTTAGCCAATGACTGGTTTACTGGAAATCAGATTACAGTTCTTGTGTAGTTGCCAATTGTCAATTGCCTGGCGCAGTAAAGGTGCTAATAAAGACAGGGGAGCTTCCGTCAGTTCGAGGTTTAATGAAGGTTTGAGGAAAGTAATTGAATTTTAACTTAGTCTCACAACGGGATTTGGGTTAATTTTTTTAGCGGAATAGCTGCGATCGCGCCCAAGCGAACCGTTATTACCACCTTGTAATGGCCTCATTAAGGTGGCAGTTCGCGCCGACAAATTTTCATTATTGACAGACCGTCAAAATGTTGCTTATG